TCTCCAGGGGTGCCCATGACACCGCGACCCGCACCTGAAAGATTCACCATTTCGACGCCGAGGGCGTCCCATGCGCGAACACATGAAGCAAGTGACGGTGAAGTTCGACAAGCACCAACTGCAAAGGTCCGCAAGGGCGAACGTGATGGAGGTGATGGATTTGACTGGCCGTGGGATCGTACGCGGATGCCGTCGCAGAGCCGTCCTCGTTCTTCTCGGGACGGTGAGGTGCCAAAAAAGTAAGTTGGCACGCTTCTTTATGGAGGGCTGGCCGCCGTGGATAAGCTCTAGTACCTAGCAGGGCCACATGTGAATCACGAATTCAAAGCATTCTGCAGTCACCGTCATCAGATTGTGGGCGATCACAGATGGCACCTTCGAGACTGGCTTCGACGATTGGGTCTCCGACTCCATCGCAGTCATTGTCTTACCCATCTGGAGTACTGGTAGGATCGCCGATCTCGATATCTTCTGGACATCACAGTTTTTCAAGACATCACGAAGACGGCGGACATTTTTGTTGTGAAGAAAGACAGGACAACTGTCGGGTATCCACGGTGAGCTTGAAGGAACACGTCCTCATGCAGGATGGCGATCCTCGCTCCCTGGCGACTTCACCACCTTTTTCCCGTACGTCTACCTGGGCTTCATCCATTCCTCCCCCTCCAGGCTTGGAAGGTGAGGTCGGGGTTCGGCAACAATCGTGAACGCGCCCTGCCTTGGCCCTCGCGGAGCTTGTTGAGCCACCGCGTACCTGTTAAGCTAACATTTTGCGATCGTTCTCTGACTGCATGCGCGGCTGGGACCACCCACTCCAGCTCTGCTACGGGTTTGAGCACATCGTGTTGAACGCCCTCGCGGAGTTACCGCTGGTGATGGCGCCTGGGCGCCAATGTGTGCCGTTTCGTGGACACATGTGGACGGACGGCTAGCACAAGGAGACTGACTCCACGTTGGGGGGGGGGGCCTGTGGTAGTCGGTCACCAGGGCGAGCACGGTTATTCAGTTCAGGGCTACCTCACATCTCGAACATTGGGGAGCTCAGGACTTGCTCGCGAGGGGGACCAGATGGACAATACGATTTCAAAAATGATGGCAATGATTTGGGCATTATATTACATACTACAAAAAGGGTCTAGGCTACACATCCCATGGGAGATTACTCTCGGCGTCATACGCCAACGACATGGATATGCTCCCAATGACAGATGGCTTCGTTCTTGGCTGCATTGCCAGGAAAAGTGCAGCAATTTAGTGAAGTACGTTTTTATTGTACTACGTATCATGCTCCAGATCCGTGGGATCATTTTGCCGATACCATTGCGAATGCGAATTCGAATTGCAAGTTTCAGCGACCGCATGATCAATTGGCGAAGCAACTGGTCTACGACGAAGGAATACAATGGCCATGGCTCCACTACATGACGGACGTGGCACACGGTTATCCTTTGGTAGTCGATGGTGCTTTTCATTTTCAGCAGCCAGCTGGTTTTTCTCAGATGTCAAATAAAGCAGACGATTTGGATGCCATCAAGCATGCCTTATATGGTATCTCCGGTAAGAATGCTCCGCGCCGAGGAACACCACAAGGGCAACAAGTGCGCCTTCAGTTTCGAGCAGCCACATATAATGTGATGTCGTTCGCGGAGGCGAAGTCTAGGAAACTGAACAGACACCAGCGGGATGAGAAGCGTCGGCGCCTTCAACGCTTGCGCGCGCAGTTTGCAGACGGTTCCGTACTCTTCGTTGACCTTCAGGAAGCTAGAGGACGTGAAGGTCAGATGTGGTCTGATGGATATATCACGATGAGATCTGGCGCGGATGCTGGAGGCCATGGCTGCGCGCTCTGAGTGTCCACTACGATTCCATATGCTGTCGGGCGACGGGATTTGTTCTGGCGGAACAACACCTTCGAGTACTTCACACGTCTCCCACACGGTTACTGGTGCAGGTGTCTGTTCCTCATCTCCACGCTCGGACTCTCGTCGCGCATGCGCCGCGGCCCAGTTGCAAAACGCAGAGAGTGGGTATTTACTTCAGATCTCCTGGAGAAGTGCCCCACGGACATCTCGCTCATTGATGCGAATGCGAAGGGGCGCCACTGCTATGAACTTGCTATTCATTGGTGACAGACCACCGCATGACAAGTTGGATGAGCCGGGACGTGTGCTAGTTGATTTGTGTAAGTTGCATCACTTTCGGTTGTATAACACCTTGGTTGGAAGTGAGTCAGACGGGACATGCACCTGACGGACAGGTGCGGGTGCGAAATGATTACGTTTGTTTGGATAAGAGTTGGTACGATGTGGCTGCGGACTTGAATATCATTGGCGATATGGACACAGGGCTGGTTCAAGAAGACCACGGGCCGCTAGTTGAGCATTCTCAATATCAGCATGTTGCACGACCTAAAGGAGAGGCACAGTCATTACAGTTGTCGAATGAGAAGCTAGATGACCCCGAGATCATGCAGACGTTCAGCGAACAATTGGAGACGGCGGCTCCTGGGCCGCGGGCTCAAAATAGTAATATACAATATCACCACATGACCGGAGTCTGCCGCCCGTGCACACTTCGCGAAACACATGTTCACGCCGCACCAGGACTATATATCCCGCAACGCGATGCAGCTAATCGAGTTGCGACGATTTGTGTAGGTTGCCCAGCGGAAATTCAATCGTAAAGAACAGATGCCCCTCTTTAACATGGCCAAGGTTCTTCCGCTTCAGTTTGGGTTGTTTGCTAACGAAGGAAATCCCTGGCTTGAGGAAGCACAGCATATCCTCCTAGGGGTTCAGCTATACATGAGTGAATGTGGGGCGGACCAAGAGCTGCAACCACAGCTTGAAGCATGTCTCAGGAATGCGTCCACAAATTTGAAACACTGCCTCGCGGAAGAGAAAGATGCCAAGTTGGATAGGTACGCCGACGAGATTGGTGAGCATACTTTGGCAGGTGATCATCGACGGGCCGGGCAGAGTGCAATGCGTCTTCTGCGTTGCGGTGGGCGACAGCGCCCTCGCTTTATCAGTGGGAACTACGTGCCATACCGTCTTGATGATCGTGGCGCCGCCATTACGCCGGACAAAGAGATGGGTGATGATCGGATGGGGGGGGGGCCCTCTCGAAGCTTGAAGGCGCCGCTGTTCTTTCGGCGGCGCACTGCCTTGGTATCTATTTATAGCTGCCAAGCACGAAGCTCCAGGACGCGCCCCTGTCGATTGACATGGCCCCCGCGCTCGCCGACCCCGAGAAGCACCTGCAGGAGGGCCCGATGCGGAAAGGCACGTGGTGCTGATGGGATACGCGAAGAGGTCTTGCGGGCGGCACCGCGCTCCATTGCGAAATTGTTCCGCCCGGTCATGGTAAAGGCGTGCCTCGCTGGGGTCGAACCTATTGCGTATGAGCGCAGTCGTTTGGTGGAAGTATCCAGACGCGGTGGTGATCCTCGCATCAATAAGGGTTATCGGGCGGTCGCTGTCTGTAATGTCTTTGCGAAGCACTACTGCAAGTTCGTTCGGGGGCGCCTGGCCTGCGCGATTGATTTCTTATCTCGGGGCTCGCAACTCGGCGGTCGCCCGCGACGCCCCCCTGACATGGCCTCGCACCAGGCGCAGCTTATGTCGGATATATTGAGGCCGTCAGATGCGGCCACCTGGTACTTATCTAAGCCGATTGAAATCCTCGGCGAGCATGGTTTTGGCGTCGGCGACGTAGCTTCGGCATCGACGACGTTTTCAAAGTATCATCTTTGTTTTACGACAGCGGCGTTCGTTTAGTCAGAAGCCGCGCGGCTTTTCTGAATCCTGGGCAGGTGCTTCGGTGCGTGTCTGAAGCTGCGCCTTTGATCCAGCGTCGTTGGTCGGCGCGCTGCGATGGCGGTGCCGATTATGCCTGGAACCTGGCAGCGTTTCGCAATCATTTGCCAAGTTTTTTGGGATCAGGCGCGGCCCATCAACGATCTACCGCAAAGGGCAGGGCGTTTCAACCTCGGAGCGTTTCGATCGTCAGCCCAGTAGCTGGTTTGAAAACCGCCACGCGCATCGAGCCGAGATGTCTCGGCGTCTGTTTTCGTTCGGTCGCCTCGACCGCTGCGCGGAATGGCCCAAAGCCAGTGGGCCGAGAGAAGGGCAACGCCTGAATTCATTACAGACTTGCCGATAAAGCAAAACGACGCCAACGTTGCCGTCGCAGCCGCTTGAGCCTAGGCACGGGCGAGCCAAAATGGCAACAGGCAAGGGGGATGAGGAGGAGGAGGAGGGGGAGGAACAGGAGGAGGAGGAGGAGGAGGAGGAGGAGGGAGGAGGAGGAGGAAGGAGGAGAGGAAGAGGAGGGAGGAGGAGGAAGAAGGAGGAGGAGGAACAGCAGGAGGAGGAGGAGGAGGAGGAGGAGGAGAGGGGTTGAGAAGGAGGGCGATGAGGAAGAGGAACAGGGATGGCTGAGTGCGTGTTTTGTTGTTGGGGCCGAGGGGGGAGGAGCAGGAGATCATAGAGGGGCGTGGCAGGAGATCATAGAGGAGGGGCGCAGACATGGATGGAAGAGTTCGCAATGACTCTGACTCGATCGCACCCCTGGCCGCTCCCTGGGCCCGCCTCGCGCCCCAGGCCTGGCGGCAGCGATCTCTGAAGCGAAGCCTGCTCCCCCACCCCCGCCCTTGCGAGGAAGACGCCCGTGGCCAGTGGGGAGTTCTAAAACATCTTACTCCCCCCGGTGCCTTCGCCCTGATCTTCCTCCTCCTTCTCCTCCTACTCCTCGTGCTCCTCTTCCTCTTACTCCGCCTCCTGCCTCCTCCTCCTCCTCCTCTTCTTTTTCCTCCCCCTCCCCCTCCTCCTCCTCCTCCTCCTCCTCCTCCTCCTCCTCCTTCCTCCTCCTCCTCCTCCTCCTCCTCCTCCTCTCCTTCCTCCTCCTCCTCCTCCTCCTCCTCCTCCTCCTCCTCCCTCCCCGCTCGCTTTGATGGCGGAGGCGGGGGAGGCGACGTCGACGGACCTCGCAGCCTGTCCTCAGTCCTCGGTGCCCTTGCTGTCGCGGCCGTCGCCGACCCACGCAGGCGCCTTGGAGCTGTCCTCGGGGCCCTTCTCTGCGTCGAGCTTGGAGCCGTCGCCCTTCTCTGCGTCGAGCTTGGAGCCGTCGTCGTCCTTCACGCCGAGCTTGGAGCCGTCGTCGTCCTTCTTCACGTCGAGCTCGGGCTTGACCTCCCTCTGGATCGCATCGCACAGTTTGGGCAGCTTGTCTGAGATCTTCTTCCACGGATTGCAATCTTTCCGCAAGGAGGCGTGCTTCGCCAGCGAGTCGATGATCATTTTCCAGGTTTGGACCAAGGGACCATCAGCCGCCACGTTGAGCTTATTGAGCGCAGGGATCTGGGAGACGACGCACCCCCCCTTGGTTGCGGTCTTATAGAATGGCACGAATGCCGCAGGCACCCAGAGGAGCTGGCCCTTCTCGAGCACAATCCATCGCAAGCGATCGCCAAGCATCTCGAGCGTGCAGCCTTCCAATAGGGTAATGAGCTTGGCCAAATCGTCCATTTCTTGGCCGTCGCCCTGGATGAGCTGCGCGATGTCAGCCAAGAGCACCGTGGCCTCCCCAGCGACGCAGTAGACTACCTGCGGCAGGCCCGCCAAGCCAGTGCAGTCGAAGCCCGACCTGCACGCGTTCTCAGCGATCCCGACGTTCCAGGGGAAGAGCATGCAGTCTGGGACGCCTTCCACGACGTTGTCAAACAGCACATTGTACAGCTCCAGGTAGCGAGTAGAAGGCTCAATCGTCACGGCGTGCTGCAGGTTGCCCTTGCCGTTGGCTGCTTTGAGATGGTCGATGAGCCTCTTGGCCCTCTCCTGGAACTCCGCGTCGCAGAACTTCACGAGCTCATTGAGGTTCGTGTTCTTCGCAAGGTCGATGAGCCCGGGCCCCTTAGACGCCAGGGCCTTCGTCTCGGCATCGTCGAGCATGGGCTTCACCAAGGACGCCTTCACGCCATTCTTCGTCTCTTTCTCGATGTTGTCCAGGTGCTGGGCTATCTTCAAAGTGCAGCCCTTGTCTGTGAATCGCTTGGTTGACTGGTTGAGTCGATACCGATCCTTCGCGGCGTCGCTCTTGATTTTCTTCTGAGTCGCGGCATGGTGATCTTTGATCTTAGTCATGCTTGCGTTCAGCTGGCTGGCAAGGCGCTGAACTGTCGACTCGAGATCCGCCACCTCCTCCTGCATATCCTCGAACTTCGACGCTGGGCAGTTCGGCACGGCATTCTTCTTGTCGGAGATCTCCTTGATCGCGGCCTCGAGCTCCGTAATGTTTACCGCCACGACCTCATCAATGAGCATCTGCGGGTACTTTGCGCCGAGCGACGTGGCGAAGTTCTGCGCGGTCCTGAGGAAGCCTCCTCTCTTGGGCGGGTAGACCTCATTCAGGAGGCCAGTGATGTCGACCCCCAGCTTCTTCTTGGCAGCGGAGATCTCTGGGCCCGTCCAAACCTTCTTGGGCTTCGCCGCCGACAGCGTCTCTGCGGGCGGCACTGGCATTCCGAACGGCGTTCCTGGCGCAGCACCGGCCCCCGCGGCCACGAGCGGCGTAGCCGTCCCAGACGACGTTGCAGGCTGCCCGTCGCCGCCAACGAGAGGTGCCGGGGACAGGCAGGGCGCTGGAACGCCATGCACAAGCGGCGCGCCCCCGCGGGCTGGACCGCAGCTGTTGGAGAGGAAGTCGTGACCGAAGACGCTAGAATATTTGTCTTGGAACACCGCTGCGTCGCCGCGACCCGAGGACGCGCCGCGAAAAGCTGCGCCAACACGAAGAGCTGCCTGAGCCTGGCCACCCATGTTCGCAAGCTGGTCAGACGACCCGCTCGCGGCGGATCTCACCCGCTGCATGGCCCGCTGGATGTCATCCTTACCTTCGTGTGCCTTCTCGGACTGGATGGCCGAACTCTCCCCGACGCCCTGGATGCCCCTGTACTTCTTCGGCAGAGCAACAGGGGCCCTGAGGTTCACCCCTTCGCCCTCCTTGAGGATCCTCGGGTCGTCCACGGCAGCGTCCCACTCGATTTCACACCGAGCGTCATCCCACCGCTTCCAGAACGCATGGTGGGCGCAGAACTCATCGAAGTCGAGCATGATCACGTCGTCGAGCTGCGTCCCTATGCACGGCAGTCCGATAGCGGCCGTCTTCAACGACGAGGCCCAGCACTTGTTTCCGCCAGAGGGTCACGTTGTTCTTCTCCACGTCGCGCAAGTTCCTCATGTGCACCTTCTTAGCGGGATCGTGCTCCCGGGCGTCGCGAGCAAGAGCGGCGTTCTCCAGGTACCTGGCCGCGCCGCGGCACTTGTGGTGCCAGTAGACCACGTCCGCATCAGCCCCTGTGGCCTTGGTCTCGTCGTCGAAGATGTTCACCTGCAGGCGCGGGGGGGAAGGGGGAGGATGACGACGACGGTTTCAGGCCTCCCTTCCATTCTTCATTCGTTCCTCCCTCTCCTCCTCCTCCTAGTCGGCCTCCTCCACCAATCCTGCGCTGCACTTCCCTGTCGTCCTCGTCCTTCCATCCTCCGAGGCTCCGTCGTCCTTCCTCCGCCTCGTCCTCCTCGGCCTCCTCCGCAAATCCTGCGCCCCTCCTCCTTGTCACCCTCATCCTCCTTGTTTTCTTATAGCCGTGGCTTGGCTCCTGGAAACTGGAGTGGTGACATTTGATTTGGCATCCATCCAGGGCTCGCCTCGAGCTCGCAGACAGGGCAGTGGTGCTTCTCGCCGTCCGGGCAGTCGGTGGCGGCCGCGGCCGCGCCCTGGCCCTCGCCGTTCGCATCTGCGCCTTCATCGTCAGAGGGGCCGAACTTCATCCGTTTCTTGTGTCTGCCACCCCCCCTGGCGCTGGCCCGCTTCCCACCGCGGGCGCCAGCGACGCCGCCCTTGCCCCTGCGAGGCGGCAACTTCTGCGGTGACCCCGCGACTCCGATGTCGTCCTCCAAATCAGCGAGGCGCACATCTGCTTGCGGTGGCCCCACACCGAGCTCCCCGGATGCTGCCGCCATAACCTGGACCAGGAGGGTTGAGTCGACCTCTTCGGGCCGCTCGGTCGGGCCAACAAGCCCACGCCTCGACGTCTCGAGCCGATGCGCCTATACGGGCATTGCTAACGATGACCACTCCACCTGGTCAGCCGAAGTTACCCACGTCAGTCCTATGAGATACGGTGGAGATACTTCGATAAGGAACCCAGGGTCTCGTGACCAATGGGCGGCCTGCCGCGAGCCAGCCAATTCGCCTCGAAAATCGTCCATTCAGCTTTGAACTGTGGCTCTCACCGAAGCCAGCCCCTCACCTTCTCTGTTAAAAAAACCCTCCGAACAGGTACATGTTTAAAGTAGGTAAGGGTCTCTACGTTTCACCGTTTCGGGCTGAAGCCTTCAAGACCGTATACAGGGCCTCCTGGCCCGTCTTGATGTTCTGAGATGTGGTTCTCACCGAAGCCAGCCCCTTGCCTTCTCTAAAACACAGTCTCCGAAAAGGTAGTTGTTCAAAGTAGGTTAGAGCCTCTACGTGTCACCGAGTCTTGGGCGAGATGCAAAACCTCCTGGGCCGCGCTGGGCGCCCTTCATGCACATAAAAACATGACCGCAATGATCATGGATAGGAACGGCATGTATCTCTGAGATGCGAGCGTTAGAGTTTTGGGACTGGCCTAGGGACCTCCCAAGACACACCTCCTAGGGCTGCAGGACGCGCCTCCCCAGCGAGAAGCAGCGACTCCCCACCAGCGGGTTCCCAGGCACGGACTGTTTGGATGACCAAATGACAACGTTTTCTGGGCCCCCTTCTGGGGCAGTCTTGGAGGCCCGTGGCGCCACTTCTTCAAAACGCACACATGATCCCGGATCTCCAGAGCGAAGTTTGCTCACATCATCGAACGAATCCATCAAGCCCTGGATTCACGCCGCGCCGCTGCATGATGGCGAGGCCCCGAAAACAAAAGCGCCTCTCACCTTGGCCGCCCTCGGCCTCAGCCCTCAGAGGATCGGCATCTGGCCAGGCGAGGCGGAGTGGAGACGCACCACCGCAGCCGCGAACTCCTTCGTGTATTTCTCGCTGTCCTTCATGTGCGTTTTCTTCCCAGAAGTCTTGCCATGCGTGGTGGTGTAGAGATTTGCCAGCGGCTGACCGATCCTCGATATCGACCGCCTCAGCCCTCGAAACTTGTCCGATGTCGTGAACAACTTCAAAGGTTTCGCCGTGGGGGCCCCGAAACTGCCGAGCCATGTCGGCACCCGGATCATCCTCGCCATGTAGTCGGCCAAGAATGGCAATTCGTCGAACACCGATGACATCGGTTGCTCCAGCACGACATGGACGTCAATCAGGTTGGCAACCATCATGAGGATCATGCACCGCAATGCCATTCGATTACCTTCGATGGCAGGCGGACAATGCGGGCTGCCAAGACGATTGTCAGGGAAGCGCTTGGTCACCGATCGCGAAATCCAGACGAACGAGCTGCACTGCGGCGAGAGCCAGAGCAAGCCGCCAACCTTTCGGGCGACCAGAAATCTGCACATGCACCACCCCTTGGACCCATCGCGGGCCCACTATGGGCGCGGCCCTCTCAGGGTCCTAGGGCCCAAGAGCGCCCGCGCAAACGCCTGACAGGATCGCCCACGAAGCTCCTTGTTGGTGATCCTGTCAAGTGCCTTCCCGGAGCTCCCATGGAGCGCTCTTGGAGCCCTCCTCTTGGAGCCCTCCTCTTGGAGCCTTCTCGGGCCTTCTCAGAGCCCTCAAGAGCCCGAGAGGCTCCTGAACATAACGCGACGTTGAGGCAATCATAGTCCCATGAAGTCTCCATGGCGCAACGGCCAGCGATAAATGCGCGTCATTGTCATCCTAGATCGCCTATTGCCGCCCACAGGGCGGCGAGAGGGGACAGGCGGAGCGGGCGCGAGCCCAATCAAGAATCACTTGTTTTAACCCAGGGTCGGGGCCCCTCAGTATTCAGGATCAGGCCAAAAACTTAAGATGGGGCTGGACTGGGCGGCCCCGCCAGACGCCCTGGTTTCAGGATGGACCCCCAAATGTCCTGGGCCAAGGATGGTGTTGTCAAGGGGTCACGCATGCGCAGTTCTCCACATCCTAAGCCTTGGTCGCCAACAAGGTCCACATGTAGATCGCGAGCCCCACGCTGGTCAGGATGTTGAGATGATCTGAGTCGTATTTGATGTCGAGGGCGATCGACCGCAAGCCGAGCTCTCTCATCTGCTTATCGATGCGGCCGACGCCAGCAAACTGCTCCACTGCGGAAAACAACCACCCAGACGGAGTGTTGACCCGGATGCGCAATGCCGCGCCAACCAAGCTAGTGATCGCGTCTGGCAAGGACGTTTCATTAGTCAGGTCGAAGAACGATCGTTTCAGGATATCCAGCGCCAGCACGTGGAACTCCCGAGGCATCGACTCCTGAACGAAGTGGCCGATGCGCTCGCGCGTGGTGGACGGTGCTGCAATTGCCACAGGAAGAAGAAACAAACACTTGTCTTGGATCAAGTCTGGCACGTACTTGCGGACGCCGTAGCAAACCATCTGGACGTTCACCTGCCCGCTATGAATGCACGCACTCCTCCTGAACTCCTGCTCCCACCTCCTCCGCCTCCTCTTTCTGCTCCTCCTCCTCCCCCTCCTCCTCCTCCTCCTCCTCCTCCGCCTCCTCCCCCTCAGGCCAATTTGGTAGGGGTCGCCGCGTCGCCACTCGCCGAGTAGTGATCCCTACCAAAGCCTCCTACCAAAGCCTCCATTCTCCTCCTCCTCCTCCTCCTCCCCCTCCCCATCCTGATCCTCGAAAGGTTCGACGCCATATGGGCCTACTCCGGGGCGACCTTTGGGGCCCATGTCGGGCCACCTTTGGGGCTTCATGGGGTCTCTTGGCGGATTGTTGAAACGTTGTGGACCCCCCGAGCGACCGCGTCAAGGAACGGCGGCGAGCGTTCCAAATCCGCCATGACCGCCACAGCCGACGCAATGAAGGGCGACGGCACAATGATCCCCATGTCCTCATCGCCGACAATGTCGTCATCATCACGATGGTCCCAAACAGGCGACGTCGGGGACGCTGGCACTGCGACGCAGTCGACGACGACGTCGTCGGCGCCGCCAGCCGCCATGGCGGCAGGCTGGGACCCCGCTGGGAGTCTCTTGGGGGGCTTGAATCCACAGTGGCGAGTTACACGCGCCCATGGTGTCTTAATTTTGTTGCATGGCCCCTCGGGGCTCCTGGGGGCCTCTTGGGGTCACATGACATCCTCCTGGCCTCAAGACAGCCCTGGGAGCCTCTTGGGGCCTCTTGGGGCCTCATGACAGCCCTGGGGCCTCTTGGAGCCGCTTGGGGCCTCTTGGGGCCTCTAGTCTACATAGCGATGGTTCTATAAGGCTAAGAGGTTACAGGGCTAAAGGCATATCGCGAAAACGCTGCAGGGCGATACTCAGGCAAATTTTTGAAATTTGCCTGAGCATCGCCCCTCAGTGTTTTTCGCCCTCACCCTTTTCCAGCCCTGAGGGATGAAGGCATATCGCGAAAACGCTGCAGGGCGATACTCAGGCAAATTTTTGAAATTTGCCTGGGCATCGCCCCTCAGTGTTTTTCGCCCTCACCCTTTTCCAGCCCTGAGGGATGCTGGCACCAGGACTGCGCCGACCTCTAGGACAATAAGGCAATAGGACATGGGACACCCAGAATGCTTCCAAGTGGACAGGAAGGAACACCTAGGGGTGCCCGACAGGCCTCGGCCACGGCCGCAAAACGAAATAACAGTTCCTGTTGTAACCCCGTAATGCGCTACTACTATTCCTACTACTACTACTACTACTACTACTACTACTACTACTACTACTACTACTACTACTACTACTACTACGACTGCTACTACTACTACTATTACTACTACTACTACTACTACTACTACCACCACTACTACCACTACTACCACTACTACCACGACTACCACTACTATCACTACCACCACCACCACCACTACTACTACTGATACTACTGCTACTACTACTGCTACTGCTACTGCTACTACTACTGCTACTGCTACTGCTGCTGCTGCTGCTACTACTACTATTACGCGTTGCAAAACTGCGCCAAGGGCGTAAACTCAGGCGCGAGTCGCGAGTCCGCCAACTCAGCCGATGGGTGGCAGAACGCAGCGCGACGCCGTGATCGAAGGGTTGTTTCCTGAAAAAGCGTCCCCGCTCCAAGATCAGAGGGCCCGCAACAAGAAAAAGGGTACCCGCATCAAGAAAACCATAGTTTTTTCTTGTGGGGATCTTGTTGGTAACAACTTTTCTGCTTGCCGAACAGTTGTTACTAACAAGATCCCCACAAGAAAAAACTATGGTTTTCTTGGTGCGTGTAC